ATTAATTTCAATTTGCCCAGTTTAAGATGAAGCTGAGTTTCATATGATGGTTTTGTGAGGGATGCTGGAAATATAGTCTAGAGAAGAGAACTTAGAATAATGAGGTGATGAGTTTTTATTTTATCTTCTTCTCATTGTAGAGCCAAATAAAGTTTTTATTCTTTAATTTTTTTAAAAAAGGATCAAGATATTTTCAAAGGTCACCAAGCTCTAAAAGGTTGGAATTAGCATTCTACCCAAGTCTGTCTGATTGTAAACTTCATGCTGCCTTCTAAAATTATTGAATAAACCAACAAAATACCTTCTTGTGTAACACATCACTTCATTTGATCTTCTTACCACTGTAAAGTAGGACTGCTTACATTATAGTTATAATGGGCAATATTGCAAATTTTCTTGCATAGAATTGCATAGAATCGATTTACATCAGAATCACTCAGTCTACCAGAACCCCCACCTTCTAAATCCTAATCTCTTGGGGATGAGGGATAGCGAGCTACAACTATAGTAATGTGTCAGGTGGTGTTATGTCCTCTGAATTAAAAGACTGATCTTGAATATTTTTTTATCTGTAGATTCTTCTAGTAACTAGCTTAGATTATTTAAAAAATTTTACAATAGCCCCATCTAGCAGTTACAGTTTCTATTCTTGTTTTACAAATGAGACAGTTAAGACTTAAGAGAATTGAATTGAATAATGTGTATGAAGTTTTCTGAGAGCAGGTAAGCAGAGAGATGGATTTGAGTCCCTGTGCTGTGTATGGTTTGCTGGCTCTCTCCTTGTGGTTGCCTCTGATGTAGAAAACATGGATCCTAAGAGCTCTTTTAACGTGAAAGACAATGTACTGCTAAAATAAGAACTACAGCCCTCACAAATAAACTTTGTCTTGAAATAAATTCAATTTTTCTTCGTGTTTCAGTAGCCAGGGTGTGGATCTTGTGACTGTTTCTCTTTAGCTGTTTCTTGTGCTTGTCAGTAAAGAGCACAAGGTAGTGAGAGATTTTTAGTTATGATAAGAAACAAGTCCTTCAGAGTTAAATGCAATGATTAGATTAGACTGCAGTATGGATTTGTTTGACATGCTTCTTGAGGATTATAGTAGTACATGCTTCATCCACTCAGAAAATATTCAATTTGAGCCTACTGTGTGAGAGACATGTCGCAGTAGCAGATAGCAGTGACAATCAACAAATCATGCTCTTCTTCCTGGTAGGATTCCAATCCTCTAGCAAACTAGAGGACTAAGTCAGTTGTGTTGTGGCCCATTCCCTAACTGCTCTGAAGAAGAATTAAAGCAAAGGGAGAATGCTGGGGTTGTGGGCCACTTTGAAGAAAGTGGTCAGGGAATATCTCACTGAGCAGGCGAGGTACTTTTGGGCAACAAAAATGGTAAAAGAAAGTTCTAAGGAGAAACCAGCAGAAATCTTAAAGCCTATTTGGCTACATAAGAAGGGAGTGAGTATAAATCTGTTTGCCTAAATTCATACAAGTGATGTAGCTACTCTGCAAAGAAGTTCCCTGAGAACTAGACTTGTAGTACATGCAGAGTTCTCGTTCCACCTCCATCCCATCACTGGATTACCAACCACCTTTACTAGCCCAGTAATTCACTTTTTGTGGATTTTTCCCTTAAAACCCATAGTTTAGAGCAAGAAAATTATTCTCCTACATTAAGTTTTCCTATATTCTAATTTTGTTAATAATAATATTAAGTTCCGCTCTACATTTTCTACATTTTAATTTTAACAAAACTTCCTTATCATGGTAGTACTTACCTCCTATGACTGAAAAATCACATGAAATAGCTCACATATAGCATTTGGAATGCAGTGAAAGTTCAGACAGTGATAGGGAACCACTTGAAATCACTTTGGGGGGACATTTCACAGGTATTCATTGGTGTCCCTAGTGGAATAGCTGATGAATGGCTGAGCCTGGCAGGACTGAGCTGGGATTATGATCCATATAGAGCACAGCAGGGCCTTTTTCCTCCCCTCACCTTTCCTCTCCTCTCTGTTCCTCTTCTTTCCTTTTCTTTTTTTGTCTATTCTGAATTCTATCATGCAGATGAGTGGATCTAAGAGAGTATAATACTCCCTAATACTCCCATATTTGCATGGTATGCTGCAGAGAACCTGGGCTTTAGCCTCAAATTCTGTCCTTAGTTCTCCTATGAAGCTTAGTCTGTTTAAGCCTCTATTTCTACAATTGTAAAATGTGGGTAACAATAATGATATTGTGTTCATGTGCTTGGACTATCATGACAAAGTAACATGAACTAGTGTTTTCAAAAACATAAAGTTATTTTCCCATAGTTTCTGGCATCTGGAAGTCCAAAATTTGTGTGTCAGCATGGAGGGTTTCCCTTTCTGGAATATAAACATCAGTTGAGAGAGAGAGAGAAAGAGAATTTCTTCTTTTATAATGTTACCAATCCCATCAGAACAGAACTTTATCCTTAGAATCCAGTTAACCTTAATTACCTTAGCAAAGTCCTATACATCCCCAAATACATTCACACTGGTGTTATGGGTTCATCATATGAATTTAGGGAGTACAGTTTGTTCCCAATCAAGTATTTACCTGATTATAGTTTTGACGAGTGGAAATTATGTGTGCAAATTCTCTAGTACAGCACCTGGGCTTAGGGCACATATTTTTTTCTCCTTCTGCCTCTTTCTCCACCTCTAACTCATTATTTGTAATTTTATAATTAGGAACAATTCCAAACTGATTCATTCAATATTTAATTGAATTCCCTAGTAGTATTTCCCAGAAATGATTTAGACTATGAAAGCCTCATGTGCTACAGAAATGTGACAATGCTCCCAGGATTTGAAGCTCAGGTCGTATTGTAGACATACAAGTTCTAGAGTTAAGTGCTCTGATCCTGAGTAGGGGTGGAGTAAAGCATTTATGCATTCACTGTAGAGACTAGATGCTTGCAATGATTTTGAAATCCACTGCATTTTCACTACATTTTTTTCAGATCTCAATCCTTTTAATGTTGATCGAGTTTAGGCCATTATCTCTGATTTGCTGTGTATGTGGGGGTTTGTTTTAATTAATTGCAGTAAGATGACAAGGCACTGAGGTAACTGCCTTTGAAAGATGAGTTTATTACTTATATTTCCCATCATAAAAGGGGTCATACCAGCACCACATGGGAAAACATCAGGTTTGATAAGAAAGAAGAGCAAAAGAACCCCAATGCCTTTATTGAAGTTTCTGTAGGAAGGAATTGTCTGTGAAGGTAATGTAAAAAGAGCAAATTTTAGACTGGATGTGGTATTCTTTCTACTGGCTTTGGGTCAAGAGAAATCTCTTCTTGTCTGTGCTGGAGTGAAAAATACTGCTTTGCTATGGATGCAAGTTAGAAAAAAGTGCTTGGGTGGTTTTTGGATTGTATGGTTTGCATATGAAAGGTATTCTGTTGCTTGCAGAGAAACTGATTTTTACATCTTAGAATAAACTCCTCTTGGAAGGGATAGTCTCAGTATTAGCAAGGCCTCCAATATGTTAAAATGTCATAAGGTACAGAAAAAAATCATGATTAATGAAATCCTCAAGAATGCTTTATGCATAAAAATATATTGTGATCTTACGTAACCTTGTGTTTACTATTCTTCAAATACACTGTAAATGACAGGTAGACCTTCCAAAGTTCTGACAGTCCAACCCTCTCCATTCTACTTCCTGTTCCTGTGATTTGATAATTGTGTTTTCCTTGGCCAGAAATGTCTTTCCACACATTAACTCTCTTCTCATTCTTCAAGCAGAGAGTCATGTTTCCTTCTCCTGTGTAAAACCTCTCAACACACACACAATATTGACTTCGCTGGCCTTAGCCGGGTTTCCTATTTGACTTGTCTCCCAATATCAGATATGGTAGTTTGTTTCATCATAAGCTATTGCATTTTCTACAAAGATTTGATTTTTCTCAGTAAAACATATCATTTTTTACATCATGCCCCATGACTTAGTTTTGTCTTTTTTTCTCCAGTGCCTAACAGAGTATCTAGAAAAGAGAAATTCTAGACAGATATGCAGGCTTGGGGATAGATGAACACTGGGAAAATAGTTTTGAATCATGACTGCACCCACTTCCCATTGTGTGATCTTGAACAAAGTGTGCACAAACATATCTATGTCTTAGATAATTCATTTGGAAAGTGAGAATATACACTTGTATTTCACAAGTTTATTTTGATGGTTCAATATAACACTTTTTAAGCTATAAGTAGAACATCTGGCACATACTAAATGCTCAATAAATATTATTAAGATAAGTAAAGGAAAATATTGACAGATGGTTCTTAGCCAGTATGATGCCTTGGTGAAATTGTCTCATGGAGCGAAATTTTTTCATTAACTAATATGATATCTTTCTTAGGACTTCAAAATGAAGGGAATATGAGAGTGGATATGCTTGCAAAATCTATCTGTATAGAACTAAGAAAAAGTGAAATCTACCTCTAAAATGATATATCTGAATAGATACTCAAAGATTGTGCTCCTCTAAGGTACCCTTGGTATACAGAAAAATAATGAATTTTATAAACTGATTATCTTGGGTTAATTTCCTACTTGTGTTTGCTTCACGGTTTTCAGGCAAATAAATTAATCACTTTGGATCCATTCTCTATAATGGGAACTGTAACACATATTTTATAAAATTGGAGAATTCAATAAATTAAATAATTTAATTAATTAAATAATTAAATTCAATAAAATTCAATTACCATTTTCAAATGGTAATCTTTATAAATTTATAAAATCATGCATATGATATAGAATCACCTTATGTCTAATATTATCATTAACATCTTTTGATCATTCCCTTCTTTTGCATTGAACTAGATTCTCCTAAAGCAAACAAACATTTTGGTTAATTACATTTTCTAGGATTTATTTATTGAACATATTATCTATTTATTCAGCACTCTGACTCAGTCTGAATTCTCATGTTCTCTCCTCACAGATGAGATTCCCTATAGCCATGAAGCAGGATAATAACACAGTGACTGAGTTCATTCTGTTAGGCTTCACAACAGACCCCCTGACGCAGCAGGTCCTCTTTGTGGTGTTCCTCGCCATGTACGCATTGACTGTGGTGGGAAATTGCACCCCTATAGTACTGATCTGCAATGACTCCTGCCTCTACACACCCATGTATTTCTTCATTGGAAATCTGTCTTTTTTGGATCTTGGGCTGTCCTCTGTTTATACTCCAGAGATCCTGGTGACCTGCATCTCTGAAGACAAGAGAATATCATTTGGTGGCTGTGTGGCTCAGTTCTTCTTCTCTGCTGGACTGGACTATGCTGAGTGCTACTTGCTGGCTGCCATGGCTTATGACCGCTATGTGGCCATCTCACGGCCACTGATTTATTGTCAGGCCATGCCTATAAAACTGTGTATATTTTTTGTAACAGCCTCATATCTTGGTGGCTTTATTAACTCTGTTATCATCACCAGAGACACTTTTTCTTTGAACTTCTGCAGTGACAATGTAATTGATGACTTTTTCTGTGATATCCCACCCCTGGTAAAGCTGGCTTGTGGCAAGAAAGGTAGCTACCAGACTGTGTTGTTCTTCCTCCTGGCTTCCAATGTCATCACCCCCATTGTGCTCATCTTGGCTTCCTATGTCTTTATCATCACCACCATCTTGAGGATTCGCTCTACCCAGGGCCGCCTCAAGGCCTTTTCCAAGTGTTCCTCCCACCTGATTTCTGTAACCTTATACTATGGTTCCATTCTGCACATCTATGCTCGCTCTCGATCTAGTTATTCTTTAGACAGGACAAAATAGTTTCTACATTTTACACTGTGGTGTTTCCCATGTGAATACCATGATCTATAGCCTGAGGAATAAAGATGTGAAAGAGGCTCTGAATAAACTCTTCAAGTAAATCAAGATTGTTTCTTTCTAAGGAAACTGCAGACAATTTTCATTAGTTTACTTATATTCCAAGTAAAAATGCTTTTGAGCTTAATCACAATATAATGTATGTTAAGGGTTTCTACTCTTCACACGTAAGATAAGAAAATTAGCATAATTTTAAAGATAAAGTTTGAATATAAAATATATGAACTTGAATTTAATTGAATTACATGTTACCCTAGATTTAAAACAAAAACACAAACAAAAACCATACACCCCAAGCCATTTTTCTACTTTCCTAAAGTGACATACGTTCACTAACCTTGGCATAAGAAGATCTGGATGACTGACCCGTATAGAATAGCATTGATAAAGCTATTTCCCAGAACTGGGACAAACATACCAAATTAGGCTTTAATATTTTCATGTGATTAATAACTACTTGCAATTCATCACTTTCCATTCCCTTAACAGAATAGCTTAAGCATTTTTATATGTACATTATCTCCCACAGCATTAGCACGTTGATACCAGAAACTCAGGAAATAACTCAGCAAAAACTAAACTCATCAGGTCTGACCCTTGTAATCTCTTACATAATGTCTCTTACATATGGAATAAATAAACTGAGATCACATAAATGTGGTTTTTGTGACCATATGACTCCCCACTTTCCTGTTATTTTATTGGTGTGAACTTACAAGGGCTCTTACATCCAAATTTTGATATTCTTAGCATGAAAACATAATTATGGTGAAATAAAACAACTTTCAAAGTAGAATTCCAAATGCAAACATAGTTTTATATGGAAAACACACAGATAATGATAAAATAAAAGTGCACATATATTATTCTGCATTTAATTTTGTTTAATATTTCATAGTAAAACCATGTTAATATAACATATGCTTATAAACACTTTTATCATTGCCAGCAATACAAAATGAATTTGAAAGAAACTGGAAGTTGGTCAAGTAGACCTTGAGCAGGAAAGCGTGATCCATACTGGTGGTCACTCCCACCTCGAATGCAGGGTAAGGCCTATAATCAGCCCAAGCTGTAATGCACAGTAAGCAAGTAGAAACTGGCCCTACACTGTAATCCCAAGATGCTCAATTTAGACAGTGTTCTAAAAAGAAAGTTAGTTATGTTAATTGTGCGCTTTATGTTGTGAAAATTACATCCCAACAATGACAAAGAAACCTACAAAACATTTAAAGTAATGTTAGCATATTCAATGTGTGTATATATATATATATATATACACACACATATATATGCCCATAGTATAAATTGATAGATAGGTAGATGATAGAAGCACAACATATTAAAGTAACAGAACAGTTTATTTCATGTTCCTTTTGGTTACAAAAATAAAAATTATATGAAAACATAATTTCAAGTCACACTAGCATCATTAATTTTGACATATAATTGCAGAATGGGCAGACACATAAACCACCACTTGAGGGCTACTGTGCTAATCTTTTTAGAAAAAAGTAGTCATGTTCTATTCTTTAAATGAGAATGAAAATAGTTCCAGATAACCTTGGGTAACCTATGGGTAAATTAATTTTATTTTGTGTCTGGAAAAGTTATCTCAACTTTGTACAAATGTTTACCTAACATTATGCACTCCCTAGTAAAAGAGAAAGGGTCACTAGTGATAAACTATGGAAGAGAAAAAACATAATAAAAATTTATTTAACATGTGGCATTGATGGTTTAGAACATGTTTTTGAATGTTAAGTATAAATTTAGCAGTAGATTTTCACTCAGTGTTGGCAATGTTTCATTTGCAATATTTTTAATTTTATTATAAATGTATAGTCCATATTTGTACATATTTATGAGGTAGAAAGTGATATTATGAATTATGCATACAATGTGGAATAATTATTTCAAGCTAACTAACAGGTCATCAGCCCAATTACTTATTTTTTTGTGGTGAAACATTTGAAATTTATTAGCAATTTCGAAATGTACAATAGACATTGTTAATTATACACAAAATGTTGTGCAAACCCATATTCCGCTAGTCCACCGAGATTTTGCATACTTTGTTTTTTGCGGGGCCAGTACTGGGGTTTGAACTCAGGGCCTACACTTGCTCTCTAACACTTGAGCCACTCTGCCAGCCCTGTTTTTTGGGTGTTTTTTGAGATAGGATCTCATGAACTCTTTAGCAGGCTGGCTGTGAACTGCAGTCCTCCTGAGTCCTCCTGATCTCTGCTATCTGAATAGTTAGGATTGCAGGCGTGAGCCACAGGCTCCTGGCTTTGTTTACTTTGTTCAACATCTCCACATATCCCCTCTCCTGAGTCCCATAACCACTATTGTATTCTACACGTCTATGAGTTCAAAAGTCTTAAATTCCACGTACATGGGAGGGATGCAGTTTTTGGGTTTTTTTTGTTCTTGTTTTATTTCACTTAGCGTAAGTTTCCCTAATTCCATCATGCTGTCAGAAATAACAGGATTTCCTTCTTTCTTATGATGGGCTATTATTCCATTGTGAATATATACCATGTTTTCTTTATTCATCTTCTGGTGGACACTTAGTTTGTCCATATCTTGACTATTGTGAATAATACTACAGTGAGCATGAGAGTACACATTTTAACTTATTTTTATTCTATAATTTTATCTTATTTTCAGTAGACCATATTATTGTTGGATTTGCTAATCTCAATTCCTTTGGATATTTACTTAGAAGGGGAGCTATTGGATCAACTATTTTTTCTGTCTACTACATGGACGGATTTTAAGATAGCGTGCAGAACCCCCATCTCCAGGTATTCAGACACTTTTGAAAGCCCTCCCCCTGAGTGTGCATGACCATGTATCTTACTTTTGACAATTAGAATATACCACGGGTGATATGATACCACTTCTGTGATTGCATCTCACAAGATCTGATGCCCTTCTTATTGGCAGGCTGTTTCTTTTGTTGACATTGATGAATCAAATAGCCATGTTGGGCAACTCCATGTGTGGCTAGAGACCACACTTGCCAGTAACTATGTAGAAGCTTAGGACATACAGCTATAAGAACTTAGTTCTGCCAAAAGCCATATGAGCATTGAAGTGGATTCTGCCTCAGTTTGGCCTTGAGGTGAAACCCCATCCCTGGTTGGCATCTTGACTGTAGACTTCTTGACTGTCTGAGACTATGAAGCATATGTCTCAGCTGTGTGTCTATAATCTGTCTGACAGAACCTGTGAGCTGATACATGTGTACTCCTTTAAGCAAATAAGTGTGTAGCAATCTTGTTATGCAACAGACAGCTGATGCTAGTACAGCTTGTCTGAAGCTTCTGGTCCTGGTCTCTAGGAAAGAGTCCCTCATTCATTGTTCTTTGTTTTCCATGTTTCATGCTCTTCTTCATCCACTGAACTCTGGCTACAGCTGAAGTTTGCATTAGAGAATCTGCCCAAGAAGGGTGGATTCTCTTTTGTAGTCCACATCATTGATACGATTCTGGGCTCCTAGGGATTCTTTTGGTTAGAAAACTGTGGACCTATGGCCCAGGCTGAAGTTCCTTTGGCAGCAATAATTTACCTCAAAATGAAGATACAGTGTATTGAATTTAATATGTTATTGATTCTACAGTACTATTTTATGTATCAAGAAAGAAAAAATTTCCAGTGAAACCCTGATACATGCTTTTATCATATTAATTATAAAACACATTCAATTTTGGATATGTTAAAATGTGAAATAGTGTGCTTCTAGATGAAATAGATTTCCAGACATTTTACTTCCAATTTGCTGCATGTCAGTATTTTTATTTCTATTTTTTTACCCTTTTGTGTCCTTTCTCTCCCCTCTCCCACTGATCCCCCAGACAGTCCCCTATATACATTCATGTCTTCTTCCCCTCTTCTTCTTCACCATCATTATTATAACCATAATCATCATTTTAGATGTAGGTTCCATAAATGAGTGAAAATGTGCAGTATTTTACTTGTTGAGCTGGGCATCTAGCTCAGCAGGATGATCTTCCATTCCATCAATTTTCCCTGCAAACCATATAATTTCATTTGTCTTTTTCTCTTTGTGGCTGAGTAATATTCCATTATATATATAAATATTATATATAAATATAACCATTCATTGTTTATAGGGCACTTTGGCTGATTCCACAGTTTGAGTATTGTGAAGACAGTTGCAATAAATCTTAGTATGCAGGTATTTCTCATATACTGATTCATACTCCTTTAGATATATGCCCAAGAGTGGTATGGCAGGGTCTTAAGGTCTGTCTATTTTTAGCTTTTTGAGGAACCTACAGACTAATTTCCATAGTGGTTTCACTAGTTTATATTCCTACCAACAGTGTATCGTTGTTCTTTCTCCCTATATCCTTGCCAGCATTTGCTGTTTGTTTTCTTGATGTATCACCAATCTGACTGGATTGAGATGGAATCTTAGTGTACTTTTAGGTTGCATTTCCTTTAAGGTAAGGATATTCATGTATTTATTAGCCATTTGTATTTCTTCTTCTGAGAACTGTCTATTCAATTCATTTTCCCATTTGTTAATTAGATTATTTGTTCTTCTGCTGGTTAGTTTTTTGAGATTCTCATATATTCTGTACATTAATCCCTTGTGTGTTGAATAGCTGGTGAAGATTTTTTTTTCCATTCTGTGGGTTGTCTATTAATTCTGAGAGATATCTTTTGATGTGCAGAAACTTTTTAATTGGATGCCATTCCAGTTTTTCAATTTTGGATTTTATTTTCTGAGCAAATGAAGTTTTATGAAGGAAATAATTACCTATATCTTTCCAGGTTTTCCCTGCAGATATTTTGGATCTTACATTAAGATCTTTGATAATTTATAGTTGATTTTTTTACCAAGGGGGAGAGAGGTCTAGTTTTAGTCTTCTGTATGTGGATAGAGCTTTTCCATTATGATGTTTGAAGAAGTTGCTTTTCTCAGTGCATATCTTTGGCTCCTTTATCAAAGATCACATGGCTGAAGTTGCGTGGTTTTATTTCAAAATTTTGTATTCCTTTCTATTG